CTAAAAGCACTATATATCTTTAAGAATGCCTCTGCAATTTTCATTAATGTCTGCAGCACATTTCGTTCTTCAATGATGGCTTAAAATTAGGACCTATACGTGCATTATGAGTAATAACGATGGATGTCTTTTATGATTAAGGGACACTATAGGCACTAGGTGCAGTGTCACTGTCCCTTTAACCCTGCAATCTAAAACATTGTAGTTTCAGGGAAAGTGCAATATTTACATTGCAGGGTTAAGAATGCCTCTAGTGGCTGTCTACCAGACAGCCACTAGAGGCGCTTCTGCTCTTTCACAGACTTTAACTCCATGAAACGATGCTGGACATCTTCACGCTTTGCAGGAGGACATCCAGCATCTTCAAAATTGCCATAGGAAAGCACCGATTCAATGCATGCAGAACATTAGGTTCCCACTCACAATGATGTCGAAGGAGACTCTGAGGGAACCTGCTCCGAGGGCCCTTGACTCTGGAATTAGGTGTGTTAAATGGTTTTTAATGCTTTAATTGCCACGATGGGAGTGGGCAGAGGGACACTATAGAGTTACGAATACAGCTTTGCATTCCTAACACTATAGTGTTTTCCTTAAAGGTCAATTGTCACCTCAAACCTATTTTTGTTATAATAACCCTATCATCAAGTTTTAAAAATATATATATTTTTATTTTTTCAAAATTAAGTATTTGCAACAAAAAAAAAGAGAGAATTTTTTTTCTTTCTACCTTTATTATATGACAGGATCCTTCAGCCATATACATACACCTTGGGCCAGACAGCGTTTGAAAAAGGAGAGTTAGTCTCTATGGTCTTCCCTGATTCACTCCCTGCACAAAAACCATGGACCATAGAGACTAACTGTCAGAGTTTAAACAGTGTCTGACCCAAGGTGCATATGGCTGAAAAATCCTGTCATATATTAAAGGTAGATATGTATTTTTTCTCTCTCTCTCTTTTTTTTTGCCAAATACTTAATTTGAAGCTTCATGAAAGGATTATTATATTAAAAAAACTGTTTTGAGACGACAGTTGTCATTTAAGCAATGCCAGAACAGAACTCTACATAAATTACAGAGAATGAATGGGCTATATTGTGTTCATAAAAAAAAACAATTTACAAATAGGCAATCTGACAATGTAGCATGAGATTAGATAGAGCACACAGGGTGCTAGTTGCTTTGTCATAACAGGAAGTGCTGTAGGATTGTGCTATTTGCATTACCAGATAACATGGAGTGGAATGCTAGAGAGAATACTGCAGTATTTGAATGTTTATGTTAAGAGTGTAGTTTCTGTATGTGTTAGTAAATAAATGTGGGGCAGTTGAAGGTTTGAGGTTTGTGAAAGAAAAAACTGATTTGAAAAATCTGGTGAGATCTCTGGGGTTTGTTTTGACTGAACCCTTCCTCTTTCACCACCACGTGGCATGTGACTGGTTGACAGTGAGTTATGGTGAGATGAGGAGTCCCTTAGTTGAGTAAAGAAACAGTAAAGACACAGTCTTCTGGCCCCAAGAATGATAGGGCCCACAGTTCGTCCCTAGAATTCCTGCATAACTCCTACATGGTAGTGGGTTCAGCTTACTGTAGGCTGAAGAGGGTATGTTGCTTAGAGTGCCATTTTAGCTTACCTTCATCTTGCCTCACATTTTCATTTTTGCCTAATAAAAAGACAAAAAGATATTACTGTCAAGACTAACAAGAAGCAATTGATTTATAACTCCCCCAAAATATTGTGAAAAAAACAACAAATCCAGACCTTTTAGGATTTATGGCTTAATGGTTTCAATATGAACAGCTGCTCAGGTGGTGGTAGCATGTTTTATGCCCTTGTCAACTGAGTAATATAAACAGAGCTGGAAGCGCACTCTACCCCTCACGATGGAATCCAGGGTGCTTCATGGAAAGTCCCAGTACCCAGTCAAGACCAATTGTAGATAATTGTAGAGAATAATCCAGGCACTCCAATAGATTCCAAAATTAAGGCAATTTATTTGAACCAAGAACTACAAAGCAACGTTTCAGCCCTAACAGGGCTTTTTTCAAACTACAAAGCAACGTTTCAGCCCTAACAGGGCTTTTTTCAAGCTTGAAAAAAGCCCTGTTAGAGCTGAAACGTTGCTTTGTAGTTCTTGGTTCAAATAAATTGCCTTAATTTTGGAATCTATTGGAGTGCCTGGATTATTCTCTACAATTACCTGTCAACTGAGTAGTCTTAAAGGGACAGTCTAAGAATTAACTTCAGCTTAACATTAAGTGCACCCAATGCTTTTCTATGAGAAGCATTGGAATGGTGGGTTGCTGCAATTACCACACATACGCTACCTATTAGAAGCATCAGATATGATAACTTAACCGGAAGGGGATCAGGCTGTAGTGCATAGACTGTCCTATTGCTGCATTACAGGTAGGTTTTATAGTGATTTTAAAGGGTGGGGAGGCTCAGGTATCTAAAATAAAACAGGAACATATATAATTTAGAAGTGAAAATGAATGTTCTTTAATTTTCATTTGGTTTCCTCTAGCCTATTGCTCGTTCCACAAGGGAACTGGGTATCCCATGTTCACCTACTGGACATGGCACAGAGGAAGGTTCTATCCAATATAATTCATATACCTGTTTATTAATATCCTCCATGCCGAAAAAACTGGAATGACAGAAGAGGGGGTCTTTATGATAAGCAAAATAAGAAAGTTACTGTTCCAGTAACACTTAGATATGATAACCTTTTGTTGTTTGACCTTTAGTTTATTTCAAATATACATTTCTTACTGGAAAGCTGCCCTTTGCAGGATAAAATGTATCTTGTTTGCTGGATGAAAAAGGAATTGTGATTGAATAACAGGAATTTGCTGTGCTTTTAATGTTTAAAATGCAAGCACAGGGCTTGTTTCCTGTAGGCAGAAATCAAACAAACAAAAATAACAACCCTTTTTTTTTATTTGAAGGGACACTATAGTCACCTGAACAACTTTAGCTTAATGAAGCAGTTTTGGTGTATAGAACATGCCCCTGCAGCCTCACTGCTCAATCCTCTGCCATTTAGGAGTTAAATCCCTTTGTTTATGAACCCTAGTCACACCTCCCTGCATGTGACTTGCACAGCCTTCCATAAACACTTCCTATAAAGAGAGCCCTATTTAAGCTTTCTTTATTGCAAGTTCTGTTTAATTAAGATTTTCTTATCCCCTGCTATGTTAATAGCTTGCTAGACATTGCAAGAGCCTCCTGTATGTGATTAAAGTTCGATTTAGAGATTGAGATACAATTATTTAAGGTAAATTACATCTGTTTGAAAGTGAAACCAGTTTTTTTTCATGCAAGCTCTGTCAATCATAGCCAGGGGAGGTGTGGCTAGGGCTGCATTAACAGAAACAAAGTGATTTAACTCCTAAATGACAGTGAAATTGCAGGGGAATGATCTATACACTAAAACTGCTATATTTAGCTAAAGTAATTTAGGTGACTATAGTGTTCCTTTAATTATTAATTAATATTGCCCTATTATCATTATTTTTTTGTTGCAACTCCCCACTACCCCCCCAAAAATGCAAAGAGTATTTTGAAAGTAAGTTTTGCTTACCTTTACCCAGCGCCGGGCAAAACTCCCAGTGCTTCTTGATGACCCCTGTCTGACATCACAGGAGCTGTGCCAAGGTCCAATCAAGAGCATGCTCTCTGAGCCGGTTAAATTCATTGGAAAAAGATGGAAGGAAAAAGAGGAGGAGCGAGGGCATGTCGACAGCATGCAGTGCGCACTGAAGACAAATGTTTTTTATGCACAGAAATTACATTAGGCCGAAACAGAGCTTTTGGCATGCCTAAGTCATGTGTGCTGGGGTGCAACTTGCCCCCAGCACACAATTGAAAAGATATCTGGATGTGCAATGTTTCAAGCTGAAACAGATACAGACTCCTACCACCGTAACCACTTCAAATGCTGAAGTGGTTATGGTGGTTGGATTAATCCTTTAAAGGGAGACTATAGTGCCAGGCAGGGCCGCCATCAGAAATTTTGGGTCCCCTGACAAAGCACAAGGTCTGGGCCCCCTCCCGGGCCCGCCCACGCCCTACCTAGTCCGCTGACAATGATGCAGGACTGAATGTGGTGTGTATAGTGGAAGTGAATTAGAATGTGTGTGATGGATGTAGTGTTTGTGTGTATTAGATACTGTTTGTGCAGTGAATGCATAGTGTGTTTGTGTAGCGGATGCAGTGTGTGTAGTGAACGCAGAGTGTGTTTGAGTAGTGGATGTAGTATGTGTACAGTGATGTAGTGTGTGTTTGTGTAGTGGATGTAGTGTTTGTATGTACTACATGAAATGTGTTTAGTGGATGCAGTGTCTGTAGTGGATGTAGTGTGTGTATTAGACGCAGTGTCTGTGTATAGTGAATGCAGAGTGTTCCAATTTGTGGTGGATGTAGTATGTGTACTGTGAATGTAGGATGTTTGTGTAGTGGATGCTGTGTGTACAGTTAATGCAGAGTGTGTGTCAGTATAGTGAATCCAGAGTGTGTGCATAGTTTAGTGAATGCAGAGTGTGTGTTAGTGTGTAGTGAATGAAGAGTATGTCAATGTAATGAATGTAGTGTGTGTGTTAGTGCAGTGAATGCAGAGTGTGTGTAAATGTATAGTGAATGCAGAGTGTGTCTTAATGTGTAGTGAATGCAGAGAGTGTGTTAGTGTGTAGCGGATGCAGAGAGTGTGTTAGTGTGTAGCGGATGCAGAGTGTGTGTTAGTGTAGTGAATACAGTGTGTGTTGTATTAGTGTATGCATAGTGTGTGTTGTGTTAGTGTATGCATAGTGTGTGTGTTGTGTTAGTGTATGCAGAGTGTGTGTTGTGTTGGTGTATGCAGAGTGTGTGTTGTTAGTGTATATTAAATTTAATTAAATGTTTCTCCCCCCTCCCTGCTTCTTACCTGTGTCCAGGGAGGGGGGAGATTCCATTCCCTGGTGCTTCAGTGGCATGGGGGGGCCCCCGGCTCCCTGTACTTGCAGAGGAGGCCCAGCACACAGCTTCTACTCTTCTCTTCTCCTCTCTTCCAATAACTCTTGCGAGACCCGTGGAGCATTGCCATGGTAACCGGGTCTCGCGAGAGATATTAGAAGAGAGGAGAAGAGAGGAGAAGAGAAGAGTGGAAGCTGTGTGCTGGGCCCCCTCTGCGGTAACAGGGAGCCGGGGGCCTGCGGCTGCACACAGATAGCGATATTCACTATCTATGTGTGCAGAGAGGGAAAGTATGGCCCAGGACTGCCAGAGCAGTCCAGGCCCCCCAGGGCCACAGGGCCCGTGACAACCATCATGGTTGTCACCCCCTGATGGTGGCCCTGGTGCCAGGAAAACAAAGTTGCTGACCCCTTCTGTCACTTACCTGATTCCAGCACCAATGTCCCTCAGTGCTGATCCAGACTCCACCTCTGCTCCTCAGCTGTTGGTGGGGGAGACCTAATGTGCATACGCAGCGATGGCAGCGCTCGGATTATGATTAAGTTTAGTTTTCTTGAATTAAATACAAATGGAAAAACTAAGGCAAAAATAAATAACTGAAATACTGAATATAAATACTGAAAATAAACTACACAAATCAGCTACTCACAATCTTTTGCCTCCATTTTTTCATTCATATTTAATTTGTGAATATTCAGTTTTGTTAATAATGCTGAATGTCTCACCCTCTGCCTCCCCCTCCATAGTGTGTGTTTGGTGATTTTGTGTAATGTGTGCAGGCTGTGTGTAATGTTTGTATGTGTATGAAGCCTATATGTGATGTGCACCAACTGTGTGTAATGTTTATGTGGTGTGTGCTTGCCATGTGTAATGTGTATGGTGTTTGCTGGCTGTGTGTTGTGTGTGTGATGTTTTTAGCTGTCTGTAATGTGTGTTTGATATTTGTTGGCCACATGTAGTGTGTGATGTTTGCTTGCTGTGTGTAATGTGTGTGTGTGTGTGTGTGTGTGTGTGATGTTTGCTGGCCGTATGTATTATCTAATGTATGTATTATGTGACTGTATGCAGTATTTGTGATGTTTGTTGGCTGTGTATAATGTTTGCTGGTGTTGTGTAATGTGTTTGTGTGTGTGCTTTGTTTTGCCATACTCCTGTAAGATGCGGGACTATGTTCCCTGTAGCTGTAGTTGTTCTGGTGACTATAGTGTCCCTTTAAGATTAAATTTAGATTAAGATTAGTGAGTGTATAAGTACTCATGATTACAGATTGTCATTTACTGTCACTCATTCCATCCTCCTGATGCTGTCACCCATGCCCTACAGTTCTATTGATCTCCTGGTTGATGTGAGAGATTATATATAGAATTGCAAAGTATGGGTCAAAGTAGCTGATCAAGTAAAAGAGTTGTTGGTTCTTGGCAAATTTGACCTACAATTTGCAGTTCCTTTGACAATTCTCCACAATTCCCATTAGTTAACAAACCATCTATTTCCTGATTTTAATAAACTCATTCACATAACCACGCACAGCCCACCAGATAGTAAACATTCACATGCTGCATTTCCACGCGTATCAGTCCTTAATTTGCACATTAATTAGTTAGCAACCATACAGAGCTGTGTAAAAAAAAAAAAAGGATATTAGATCCTGGAACACCTATATCAAAATATGTTCATTCTGGTGAGTCATTATTTTTAACTTTTATTTTAAAAAAAAACTATTCAGTTTCGTGATCACTCAGCGAGACATTCCGGGGGTAGGCGTTTAATTAAGTAAATGCTATTTTAAGTTGGTGACTATGCATTATAATGGTTGGCAAGATGGGTATTTTTAGATACATAGACAGCAGTTTAGCTATTCCTAGAGATGCTCAGACACAATACATGTTTATTTTTTTACATTTAACTATCTAAATCCTATTAAAACAGTTCCGAGATAATTTGGAATTTATACGCCCTGAGACAGTCAACATAATATGCAGTCACACAGTATCAAACAATGTTGTCTTAAAGGTTCTAAAACACCAAACTAAACGATAAAAAGGTGTCGGTATTTTACAAATTGTAATATTTGTATAACTGTTTAAATACAGTATCTCTTACTCATAGTACAATTGAGTGTCATTTACAATGTTGATTCAGCTTACCTAACCAATCGAGTCACAGGTTCCTGTGCTGCATGCATGATTGTTGAGAACTAGAATCAATCACCTCCTTGATGTACAGCTACTGATATTAACACCAAAAGTCCAAAATATTCATATCCTTTATAGAACGACTGGATGAGATTTTGGTGGCATCGGATCCTTCACTGAGACCAGAGATTGCTGAGGCTGATTCCAGAGCTGCTACCGTGAAACAGCGACCAACAAGCCGACGCATCACCCCAGCTGAGATAAGTGTAAGAGCTAACATATGCTCCCTCACCCTCTCATCTGCTCATTGTTTCTTGCCTGCTCTATTGATTTCTCTTCTAAAACAACGCTATGTCTCTTCACTTCTTTTTGTATGCTATCTGCTTTTTCATCTTATTCTTATATTGGTCTTATAGCCTGCCAGTTGCTTAAAAGCACTCAACATAACATGACAAAGTTCTGTTTTAATCTGATAAAAGTGTCACATATACATTGAACATGCCTAATAGCTATTGAAAATGGAAAGACAGAATCATGCGGTATTGGATGGAGTGAATTACCAGTTATATTAAAGTGTATCTGTCATAGCAGACACAGCGTCTCAGAACTGCTAGCAAATGTGAAGATTTTCTTAAAATGCTCTTTAAAGGTATGGTTTCTAATCTCACCTGTCAATCAGTTCTCAGCAAGGTGGACTATGCTTTAGCCTCCCAGTCCTCTTTGCTGAGAACTGAGGGAAAGGAGAGCATAGAACAGCCCCCTCTACAGTCAGTTCTCCTGCTCTCTGCTACAGAAATCACAGCACGTATTCTGTAAAGTGTGCTTTGCCAGAGTAGTATAGGAACAGACATACAGAGTACAGCTGAATCATGGGACAATGAAGACAATGTAAGGGACAACTGGGGAAGATCATCCTGCTTGGAGCAGTTTCCTCAAACCAGGCAGTGTGCATAGGGATAGAGGTGTAACTCCTACACACACAGCATGATGGTAGGTCCCTTGATGCTGGACAGGGGGTAAACGTAATATCTGAAATCAAATTAATTGGTTAATATGCATATAATTGCCATTTCCCAAAGAGAATCATATTGCATTTCACACATTATTAATTTCGGAGATAGGCTATTTAAACAGTAAGACTGTCTGTGAAATGATGACTATTAGTTTATCTTCCAAATACAGTATACTATTTATTAAGAATGTGTGCGTTCTGAAATGGTGCCATGTTGCTGAACACTTTGATCTTGTGCAAGGCTGATTAATCTCTGTGTGTATACTTTCATGTAGTTAAAATATTGCTGATGTTCTGTTTGTGTTTTCTTTTATTTTACAGTCATTATTAGAGAGACAGGGAATTCCTCAGCATGGAATGTCCCGCAGCACTGAGAAGTCCCATTTTTCCCTCCATCACGGGATGTCAAGGACAAAATCTGTTGGTAAGAGGAACATATTTTGATCTTGAAAATGTAATTAATGAGTAGTTCACAGTTATAGTGTCTACTAATGGACTTATGATAGGGACAGGTCCCTTATTAATTACTTGTCGTAGAAAGAGAGTTACAAATTAATAATGTATTCAAAGGTTATGGTTATTGATGGTTGGATTCATGGTTAGAGGTAATACTATAGATGATTTTTTTTATTTTTTATTGATTTATTTGATATTCTTTTATTTTTGCTTGCATTAAGAAAATAAACATTCACATTTGCATTAGCAGTGCCCCAACATTATTTGCATTCACCATAATAACAGACAGTAACTTATCAGGGCATAGCAATGAAAACACAATGCACATTTTTATATTGTAGCATGAAGTGTAAGCTTCAGCATGAGGACAGTGCTAGTGAGGGGTTGACTATTGCGACATGAGCGTGAGAACTATAGGCACTGTGATTGAGAAGTGTTTCTCCCAGGAGGCCCCCAGGTAGATCAGGTTTTGAGTCCCGCTGTGGTAAGAAAGGAAAGGGGACATGCTAATGCAGTGGGTTAAACATGGGTTAATTAATCTGTGTACATGGTGTGGGTACCAATGGTGCACTGCTGGGGTACTGTGGTACTTGTGCTCAGTCCTGAGGTCATCCAATGCCGTGCTGTGGTACTCCGCTTCCCTGTCCAGAGTCTCGCTGTTGAACCCTGGTGCCTTCCCAGGTAGGGACCCGCATACATGAGTCAAAGGTAAGGCCTTGCTATGGAGGAACTGAAACCTCTCCTGTGTGGTCTCAGAATCCGGATTGAGTTGTGAGGTAGGCTGTTTGGGGCGGTCTGGTTGGGTTGTGGCAGGATAGTTGTTGTGTTGTTTGCCGCCTTTCCCGTGCTGGGATGTTTGGCAGTGTTTCGATGGGCAGCGTGTGAACGTCGCGAGCATGGTCATGTGGTCCGCCATTTTCAGGCCCTCTGTACCTTGAGCACCATGGGTTTGCCACTGGATCATGGAGTTGGCTTATGAGGTGGGTGTCTGGCCTCTGGACCTGTTGTTGTCTAAGTTCCAGTTTTTTCCAGAAGGCAGCAAACTGGCTGTTCAGTTTAGCTTGAGATCCCAGCTTATATTGATACCGGAGAAACTGACGGAAGCAAAGCACAGAGGGATGGACACAGGTTTCTTCAGGAAGGAAGAGATTCTTTATTGGATCACCGATCGGGACTCAGAGGGACTAATGTCACCAAAAATACAGCAAGTTCTGAGCCCTGAACAATAGTGCAGGCTCCCTATATAGGCACATAACTCCTCCCATATTAAGCTCCACCCGCACATTCTCTTGACCAATCATTACAAATAAGAATTAACTTCCTGCTTGACCGCATGGCTTGTCCAGCACAATGGAGGAGGGGAATACTACATCCTGTATTCTTGCACATGCTCCGTACACTACTGATCGTATCTTGCCTCGTGCAACCAACTGATCGATACGTCAGCATATGCACGTACACATGCCACGTGGTAATCTCGGCCTACTAAATTTATTTTTACCGAGATTCCACCACATTCCCCCCTTTGATGCCTCTTGATATTTTACAATTACTTGAGGCATCACTTAACCTTGGTTTGCATACACCACAAGTTACCTTTGAACCAGACCAGA